CTCTCTTATGCTATGTGGCAAATTTTATTTATTGTTGATATTCACGTCTTCTGGTTTGACATACGGTGACCATGAATTCATATCTTCTGGTTTGACATACGGTGACCATGAATTCATATCTTGTTCAAAACACCCATTGCAGAATTCCTGGTTTTCACAATTTCCTGTGAAATATGTTCACAATAATTGTACATTAATCACCACATAGGGTTATCACTTAATGTTGGAACGTATGGTCGTAAAAGACCGCTCCAAACCAGTGCATGTTTAAGGTGGGTAATTCGGGTTCAGGGAGTAGAAGTTTGGACCAAGATTTCGCTTCAACCAGTTAACTGAGTATAAAGAGTCACAGTCACAGAGTACGCAACTGGTTGGTTGAAACAAAATCCTGGTCTGGACTTTTACTCTCTGGACCTGAACTCCCCACCTCTGAGCTTCAGATTCATGCAGAATGACTGGTGGCAGAGTCCTGCCAGACCCAAGCAGGACGGCCCATCTGACTCACCACCCACTGTCCCCGCAGCGTAATGGAGCTGCCATCATCCACTGTGCAGATACCGTTTCCACACGGCCTCACGCACCGATCTTGATTTACACCATCCCGTGCCCTCCCGGGGGGGGGGGGAATGACCTACCAGTGTTTTATGCTGATTTTAATCATATCACTCTCAGAGAGGGACAGCTTCTTTTGTGGTTTTAATTGAACAGAACTCCTGCACCATTTAGCACCACATGGTAAATGACAACAGTGTTCATCAGTGAAGATACTTATGGGTCATTTACAGCAAGTGCCTTTGGTCCTGAATGAAATTAATGAGCGATTAACCAAAAACACCCAAGGGGGTTGGAGGTGTACAGCACTGAACCTGGAGTGAGTAGAAGGTTGGAGACACTAATGATCCCACACATGAATAACACCTTGAGGTACGTGCCGGAACGTGCCGGAACGTGCTGGACTGCAGTTCCTCCTCCCCCCCACTCCCAACCGCCTCCCCCTTGTGGGAAAAATCCTATCAAATCTAACTCATCTTTTCATTTCACCAGGTAATAGCTAACACTGATGGACCTTCGCATCTGGCACGTCTACAATTTTCTGAATAAATACATGCGACGATTCCTGCTTAGTAAACACGAACGCAAAGTGATTTACGTCAAGCACCTGTTAGGACTTGAACCTGCCATCATCTGGGCCTGCAGATTTGTTTACGATATATGGCGAATCGCTGCGAGGGCCTTGACGGAGACTGAGGAGGGGGGTCAGCGCCCAGAAGAGGTTTAGAAGACGGGGAGGAGGAGGAGCGGTGAGAGAGGTGGGGAGCAAGCCGCGGCTGAACCATCCTGCAGCTCAGAGCCTCGTTTCAGATGCAGGAGGCCGGGCAGGACGTTTCGGAAACACGCGCTGCTGTTTAACCTGCGTAACGCGATTCTGTGGGCGACACTATGTCAGCAGGCAGCCACTGAGGCCGGATCCTCCATTAAAATGCAGAGGCTACTGAACAGTGAACAGGAAGCGGGACGCGATCGCCCGGTTGTCCCAGCGCATCCCAGATTCCCCCTTTTCGGGGTCGTCTGGACTCTGAAGGCCTCGCTGCCACTGCAAAACATCTTCCACTGCAGATGCTAAAAAAAATGGAGGGGGGGGTTTCTTCACTCTGCGCCATTTCCATTTGCCCGGATGGGAGTTAATAACGCGGCTGTGACAGCAGCCCGTTCCGCTGCGGTGGCTGGCTGAACGAAGAGCTTTGCTAACATTAGCGCTGTGGCTGAGACGCAGTCGCTGTGCAGAGCCCCCCTGTGTCGCCCCTTCATCTGCATCAGCAGGCTCCTTCAGCGTTCCTTCCAAATAGAAGCAACAGAGCAGGTCATGTGGGGAGAGAGGGAGCTTTGGGGGGGGTGTGCGTGGCCCGACGGATGTGAGGATTAACAGACTGACACTTGATCTAAACAGATGCTTTTCCAAACCATTATCAGCCCATTCAACAGACGAGAGATTCAGTCTGTTACCAAAAAGTGTTGTGCTCTCATCACATGGGAATCCGAAATCTACATAAATCCAAGGATGTATTTTATTCCCAAGTACAAATCAAAGGTGATTTTATTTTGAAAAGGGGTACAAAAGAACAAACACGATAAATACTTCCAGAGGAATCCGTGAGGACAGAACTGTTTCTGAGACGCTGAAACCGGCACATCTGGCGCCTACAATCGCAGCAGGTTCAGAATCCCCGAGATGGGGCGTCTTCGGCGCTCTGCTGCTCATTCGGGCGTGAGTGACCTTCTAGCTGTTTTCGGCTGCTGCCACGCGACTCACCGTTTACAGGACGGGGCTGTTAGCATTACTGACTGGACATACCTCGTACACTGACCGGCGAGTGCATAACGCCAAGCGTAGAGACCAAGAGAGTCCATATTCTCAGTTAATGTTCTCAATTATTTACACAGGTGCACCGTAAATAAGTGAAGCAGGTGATAAATTCTAATTTTTTAAGTACTATAGTAAACTTTAAATCACTGCAGATGCAATAATCCATGATTTAAAGCAAGGCAATAAATAGTAGGGGTCGCACTTTAAATCAGAATTCATGAAAAAGGAAATTACATACGATACAGAACTGTAAACATAACCCAAGGAACTGAAAACCTCAAGATGACGCCATCAAACCCTCCACGCCTGCGTCCAGAGGCACCACTGTCGTTCTGTCGATACACAGTTTAATGAATGAGGCAGTATATTTAGATCAGGCCATGCTTCCCGTACGCGTGCGAGCGACAGGCCCCGCCTCTCAGTCGCGCGGCGTGTTAGGATCGTTACTCTCGAGTGTACACTTTAACGTCAGAGTCGAGATAATGACTTTGCCTTTAATTATTGTCAGAAGTAGTTCTAGGATGGAATGGAAATTAATTTAATTTAACGGCAACTGCCAGAAAGCTCAATAGTTCGATAACATCACTGGGCTTAGCGAAGGAGTCTGCTGTGTGCTGCCGCACCCCCCCGCCTCCCCCCCCGCCTCGCTAAAATCCTCAGCCTAGCTAAACAAACAGAGCGATCCCATGTGACGCTGTCCACGGACCAATCAGAAAACAGAAAACTTATTAATAAAACGTCAGGTGTAACAGCAGAGTTTGAGCAGTAAAGGGCCCAGATGGTAAAAACCCACAAGCCCCTCAAGGCTAAGAGCCGTGACACCATCCTGTGAAGCTGGTATTTATCGTGTATTAATCTGTGTTTGTACTACTAAACTGCTCGCCATTCTCTTTATTAACTAACTAATACTACTAAATTATGCAAACGTGGTACCAGAGAGCCCTGTTTGCCAGTTACCTAAAGAAAAGCTATAAAAATAAAACAAGAGAAGACAGGGACAGATGTGCAATTTGCCTCATCTGCATGTTACTCTGGATCTGCTAAAGAAAAATAAATGCAAATGTAGATAAAGGAGAATTCAAAGGAACTGCACCTTCATAATGCATCCCTAAGCAGCGTGGAAGTATACCTTAACACACTTTAACAGCTTTAATATACATTAATACAGGGGTGGCCAATCTTATCCGCAAAGGGCCGGTGTGTATGCAGGTTTTTGGGATAACCTGCAGGTCAGCTGTTCAAACCCAGTTCAGCCAATCAGTCCTCTAATTAGTAACCTAATTAGGGAGTTGCAGCGAAAACCCGCATACACACCGGCCTTTTGCGGATAAGATTGGCCACCCCTGCATTAATAACAAACACTACATGATATTGAGAAACATTATAATCATATAATCATATAATGTTTGTTATTACTGTATATTATAGCTGTTAAAGTAAGTTAGGATATTATGGTATACTCACATGCTGCTTATGAATGTTCTATGAATTCACTATGAAGGCGACTGAATGTTCTATGAATGCTTTATTAAGGCATTACGAAGGCGCAGTTAATGTAAAGCGCTGCCAAAGATTTAGAACCATTATGAATGAAATAAGTCATGATAGTGCTGCTTTTGTTTTTCTGCTCTTAAGTAACAGGAGCCAAACCAAAAATGATGAAGTAGGTGGAGATGGTTCCATCTGTTTTTGGGGAGTTTTCCATATGGGATACTGAGAAGACACATCTACTTTGTCGATGGAGAATTCCCCAGCGTGTCAATCGCCCTGGCTCAGCCAGCACAGACTGGAGGGCACCCGAGCTGCAAATGCTTGAAGGCGCTTTCCATCATCACCACGCCTCGGTCCACCGACACCTCGGCAGACGCGACGCAGATCACGCGCGAGATTCTGCTCTTATCGGGGTCCCGCAGACCCCGGCACGTGTGTGGAGGGAGGAGGAGGTGGGAGATGCTTGGAGCAGATATCCTGAGCACAAAGCACTGCGATGCATCCTGGCAGATGAGGACGCACCTGTGCATGCACGACGCGCGTGAACGTACACGCGTTACTGGCAGATGAGGACGCACCTGTGCATGCACGACGCGCGTGAACGTACACGCGTCACACGCCACAGGAAGCATCAAGGTGGTATTTTGCATTTTCGCTTTTTTTTATTGTTACATTTTTAAAAGCATCTGCTACTTAATCAAAACTCTAGTCATGTTTACGTTTTTCAAGTTTAAAAAACTGCGAATGACAACAGTATATTGACATAAGAATAATTTAACAAGAAAGAGATATTTGGTTAAGCCAAACTCAAACGGCAAACGGCATATTAATGTGACACGCGACACAACCAACGGTCAGACGTGTCAGCTGGCTTAAGGTGAAGACCGAGGATCTTCAAGAAGACCGAGGAACTTCAAGTGCTTCTGCCCAGCTGGGCTGTCTTCATTAGCTTTGAATTTGATGGGGGGGGCGGGGGGGGGGGCTTCGTACTGCAAGTTAAACAAGCTGATAAGCTAGTAGTTCAGAGAGGGGGCCCCCTGATCGCTCGTCCACGTTCTGTAAACACCGGCGTCAGAGTCCCTTCCTCCACGACCCCCCAGGCGACCGCCTGTTACCGGGATACGAGGCAGATGGCGGCGCGTACCTGCTCCTTGACGGAGGCGAGGATGGCGGAGGTGGTCTCAGTCTCGGACCCGTCGCCGTTGGAGGCGTTCAGCACTGGGCTCAGCATGGTTGTCTTCTCCACGTCAGAAGCCTGATCTGGGACTGGCATCCCTCCTGGAGGAGAGACAAAGCGTCAGCCAGCGCCCACAGACAGGGAGCGTCAGTCAAAACAGCAACTCGGGCCTGGAAAACAAGCCGCACTCACGCACACACACAGACACACACACACACACACACACACACACGCACGTGTAGGGTAAACATATCCTTATGGGGACCGCTCATTCATTTCAATGGGTAAAATGCTAACGCTAACTACCTTAACCCCCACCCTGCCCTAACCATAACCGTAAGTAACCAAGCAAAATACATTTTTAGTTTTTTCATTGCAATCACAGATTTTTTATTAAATTGAGTTTTCCCTTTTCCTGGTCCCCATAAGGTAAGGTATACCTGCTCATACACACAGACACACACACACACACACACACACCCCTTTCGACCTCAGAACCACTTGGGTTGACAAGCTGACAGATTAAACCCGAAAGAACATCAGTAACAGTGATAAACATATTCCAGGGTTTATTTACTTAACTTTGGCATTAAGAATCATTTAAAAATAAGGTAATCTTTCAGATAATATTGACAGTACTGATTTTAACCTGAACAATCTCAAAAACAGGCACATTGATTCATTCACGCAGTCAAAAAATGTACAGAAAGCTCCCATCCAGCAGGGGGCATCAGCTGCGGACTGGGGCTGATTCAGGCGGGCAGCACAGAACGCCCCGTCGAGAGATGAGTGACTGACTTTTCACGCTGTAGTTTCCAGGATTATACGCCGTTGACCCCGATCCAGATTTCCCAGAATATCCCACCACTGTCAGAGCACAAGCAGGGACACAGGCATCGGGCGAACGGCTATTTCAGAACTTTCGACTTGGTCACTCAGTCAGTAGAACTTAAAAACCAGCAGTGATCAGTGAGCAAACAGCTCGGTCATCGTTGTCTTTAGCCTTGGATGAACTCCCATAGACTCTCAGCTATCGTGACACCTCACACGGATGCTGGATTCCTTGCACGTTCGTATCAGATGACCACATGTCGCTGAACAACCTTGAACATCAGTGAGGGCCACCGATTAAATTTTCTGAAAGGCCGGGGGAGAGTCCTTCAACGCTTGTCAGGGGAAAGTAAATCAGGAAATGGCCCCCGAGACGGCTTGTCTACACACTCACCGCTGCGTCAGGTGCCTTGGCATCTGGTGACTAAGCCTCTGAATCGGGGGGTGGAGGAGACAGAGAACAGCGAAGGGGCGACTCCGCCATCATACCGTTAGGCCAAATGCAGTTATTCATCTGTCGGACCTCACAGACCCCCTCAATGACCCCCCCGCCCCCAAGACGCAGCATCCCCAAGGGGACTCGATTCGCCTCAGTGGTACAATCAAAAATACAGAGTGCTCACTTTCGGGTCCTCAGTGAGGGGTGCATAATCGCCTTGCTCATTGGCGTTAAGGAAGGTCTCACCACACAAGACTGAAAGGTTCCACACATCAGGATCCACATTCTCAATGGGGTGGAGTGAGATTAACGCAAAACCGCAGCCTGCGCTCCTGAGCAGAGCCGTGCAGATTATCGCGATGCGGCGCTCTTGCAAATCTGCGGAGCAGCTGTCGGACGAATGCGTCCATGCGTTTGCGTTCTAACTACGCGCGCGTCCTTCCTGCTCAGCTGACAGTCATCGCAGTGACTTAATGGCACACGGCATACAAACAAGTCTTTCTCCCAACCTTCATCAAGACACTAAAGTGACAAAATCTCAAATTAACAGTACTGTGAAATCACACCACTGCCTGCAACAAAAACACAGATACATAAAACCACTCTTCACCTGTAATGCGCACGATTACAATCATTATTGTGCGCTGGAAACGACTTTCAAGCTACCTAACGCCTCACTGGCTACAATTAATGCTTATAAATATTCATAAAGGTTCATAAATATTCTGCAGAGGCCAGCAGTGGACAGATCGCTCTCACCGCAGCCCGCTGGTTTACCGAAGCTGCCTTCTCCTCTAAACGCCACGCTTCTCCTACTGGCCGGCGGTAATTAACGTCCAAGGAGCCAGCCTCACATCTCGGCCAGATCTGAGCCACTAAATCTCCCGGCTCTGTCTAATCCTGCGTGTCAACAAGTTGGGGGGGGGGGGGTCGTCGTTAGATAACAAAGGGCCAGCAAATGAACCAATAAACTGTAGCGTAACAAACTGCCAAAGGGCTTCGGGATGTTTCCAGCTCGATTTATAAACAGCAGATGAGAGGAGCCGCTACGGCGAATGACTTATAATAACTTTACGGCGACTGAGGAAAATCGCTCATTTATCATATTGCCTGCTTTACGATTTATCAAGGAAGGCTTCATTCCAGTTGCCGCACACGTATGTTTTAGGACTGAACGTTTAACCTACGGGAAGAAACCAAGGCAGCCGGGGCCCACGTTGGCAAATCCTGCGGGTCAACCCCCCCCAGCATTCCCATCACAACTGTGACAGAGCCTGAAAGTCCGTGACAAAAGCCCGGAATGGGGGGGGTGGCATTCAGAGCCAAAATGTCACCATGCAGCAGAACCCCTGGGCTCTAAATTAGCCAATTTTGTGGTTTTCACTTGTGGAGAAAGATGAATTTGATTCGGGGGCCAAGCCTGTTTTTGGAATCAGACATCAAAGCCCTTAGACCTTGGAGAGGCCATCAGGTCTGCAGATGGTGGCAGAAGGACCAAAAAAACCAGGAGAGTGACGCAGGAGTGACGCGCACGCTTGGGCCAACGGCCGCGCTTTGGAGAGCAGATCCGGGCGGCTGAACAAAACGGGCCTTTTTGCTCTTAACCTGAACATTACAGGCAGTCGCACTGCGGTCAAGTCCCTGCAGATGCTCAGATTCAACGCACTTCTAGAAGCTAAGGTTACATGTTAGAATGGCTCAGCGGGCCTCACAATCCCAGGGCCGCCGTGTGTGTGTGTGTGTGTGCGAGCAGGTATACCTATCCTTATGGTAACATAATGTCCCCATAACGTGATAAATATCCGTTTTTTTTCCCTTATGGGGACATTACCGGTTTCCTGGTCCCCATAAGGGAAAACTCTATTTTATAAAAATCGGTGACTGCTATGAAAAAACTAAAAATGCAAAAACTCTTGTATTTTGTTTGGTTACTTATGGTTATGGTTAGGGCAGGGTAGGGGTTAAGGTTGTCATAGTTAGCATTAGCATTTTTCCCATTGAAATGAATGAGCGGTCCCCATTAGGATATGTTTACCATACGTGTGTGTGTGTGTGTGTCTGTGTGTGTCTGTGTCCCATGACAGACAGACACCCGGTCCAGGATGGACCCTCCATGTGCTCCCTATGCAGCCGGGGGAGGGGGGGGGGGGCAGGCTCCAGCGGCCCTGACCAGGATCAGCCATCAGAAAGGACACTCATATGACAATAAATGGTTATGAAGCATCTTACATACGAATACTAACACTAGGAAATAGGATCTTCAAAGTGTTTCCCCGAAGGCATTTAAATATTTAAATGTTTTTCTATGAGCATATGTGCTGCCTGATGCCCCACCCACCCCCGCCAAAGGCAAAAGAGCCCCCCCCGTAAATGGTTCTGAAGCTGTGCCTCTCCATACCCACATGTCATCGGGCCCATGCAGGACCCGCCCTAAGTGCTCGCTCCCTGTTTGTGGCCCAGTGTTTCCCAATCCAGTCCTCGGGGGCCCACAGACAGTACGTGGGGGGGGGGAGGAGGGAACGTGGACCGGCTCTGGGTCCCTAAGGACCGGATTGGGAAACTCTGGGCTAGGGTGTACAGACCAGCATCACATGACTCAACATGACCAATGAAAGGCTTCCATTCAAAGAGCGACAGACTCATCACAGCACTGGAAGCCCTCTCCTACAATTACTGAAACAAGATAATGTGTCAGGCAGTGGTTTTAAACTGCACACCCCCCCCCCCCAATTGCTACATTTGCATATCCTTCGTAATTATTTGTAATTTACAGATTTAATATTGAAATAGCCCAGAAAGTGGATAATCACCATATGATATGAAACTCAGAGCATGTGGATTTTACCTTTAAATACAAATTTGCTTTAATTAAAATACACTTGGGAGTACTTTGGTCACGTAACCGATTCACATTCCGACAGACACTTACAAAAACCGATAAGGAATGGTGAGTCTGTGCTAGATGGAGTCAATACTGGCAATTAAGAAAGATTATCTTGGATATAAAGCCGGCCGCTGGCTCTATGTCCAGGGCTGGAGGTTAACAAAGATTCCACTGTGATGATTTCACATCTTTTCTCCTACATACAGAGCCCAGCATTCAACTTAAAGTTCCCTCCTGGGATTTGAACCCAACACATTCTGACCATTGGCTGTCTGTTTTAATCAAGCGTTCTCTCATTAATTCAGCCATGAGCCAAAGTAAGATCTCTCTGCATTATTGTATTATCTGAAAAAAAATGGCTATCTTTCTGTAAAATAAAGCTTCAATCAATATCTGACAAAAAACTGTTTAGTCTCAGATCTAGTGGATGGGACAGACCAAAATGCATGCCGGTGCATTGCCGGAATCTCAGAGCGAGACTGATGTGGCCAGTAGACACACACGGTGTCCAAACAAATGAAAGCAGAAAGGAAAAAGCCAGGGAACAAGAGAGGGAGTGGAGATAGCGAGCAGAGAGGGGAGGCTAATAGCTAGCAAGGCAGGAAAGGGGGCCGACGGCTGTCAAGCGACAAACACCCACACGCATTGGAATAAAGTCAGCCGGGGGAATGCATGGCGAGAGAGGCGACGCGGACATTTACCGCAAACACCTCTAACGGTCTTATTACGCCATGCGCGGTCACTCCGCATGCCTGTAAGGACGGTCCCCCTTTGCCCTCACCGGCGCGGTCACTCCGCATGCCTATAAGGACGGTCCCCCTTTGCCGGCTTGTCTGCGAAGCCCCTCTCATCCCAGAAAAATCCTGACAGGAGCCCGTCTGGCAGAATCAAGGAGAATAAAACCAAGTAACAGAATTAACAACCTTCAGGAGAGGCTGAGGGGCCGGGCTTGTAGAGGGGTCCCGACAGGAGCGTTGCGTGCCTGTTGCTGAGCGGCGTGTGGGTATGGCCTCGCACAAACCGGAGCCCCCATCGCACCTCAGACAGCACAGGCCGGGAGCCTGCCGGGCAGAGAAGCTTGTTTCTCCCTCATCCATGTCAGAGCCAGGTCCTCCCCCCCTCCCCCAGTCCCAAGAGCGCCACCCCCACGCACCAATCCAGAACTCCGCCTCCACATGAGACCCGAAAAGCCGCCGAAAGCCTCGCCCCGGTGCCATCCGCGTCGCCTCCCCCCAGGACACGTGCCAATCCTCCCACGTTTGTTTATCACTAAATTTAAGTGAGTTGCCCAAGTACGCACCGTACGATAGCTGCCATTGGAGAGTTCTGTACTGTATGGCAGTGCGACCATCCCAGCCTCACGTGCATCTCCAAGCCTCATTTTCACACTAAAAGTCAGTGCGATTATCATACTCTGACATGCGTCCATTTCGACTGTCTGTCAGAACAGAACCCAGTCGGAAGTCGGGGACAGTCTTTATATTATTTTTTCATCCAATAATACATTAAAACTGTCATGCGTGTTCTATTCCAATGAATAAACAGAATCTGAAAACTAAAGTTAAAGTCTTTAAAAGTGCAGAAAGTTAATTCTCTCCTCTAATAAAACCCCTTCATCAGGAAATAAAGCAGACGAGTAAACTGCGATTCTGGGCCCTAACCGATGCTTCTGGTTCTGGCTGGTCATCTCCGGGTCCTGCCAGAGTCCCGGCAGAGTCCCGCCAGCCTAATGAGTCATGAGTAAAGGCCCATTTAATTTGCGAGACGCCGCCCGTGTCTCCGCTCCCCACGAGGCCCACAGTGGCGTTAACCTTCTTCACTGGAGTCCCAGCACGGCCATCTGTCAGCGGCTAACATTATCGTTGGAGAGGCCAACCATATGTACCCTGACAACGGGACAACGGTTCCCGCAGTGATGTGGGAATCGAGTGTTACAAGCTTTGGCTTGATTACAGTGGCTTGGCACAATGGGATTTGATCCTCCTTAAGGCCAGGGAGCTATACTGGCTTAAACGCAATATGTTCTGCGAAACAGACTCAACTTTGCTTAGAAACACAGTATCTAATTACAGGAGCATCTGAGATGAGAGGTAGGGATATTTTTTTTCTAGATTTTTAGCCCAGAGAGCAGCACAGTCTGCCGTCCTCCCAGCCCCGAAACCTCTTCGCCAGTCACACCTGTGACACATTTGAGTTTCCGCATTAGCGGCGTTACTGTAATCCTGCAGCTCCACACTGCGCTGTGTAACCAAATGGAGCATTAACCACCACTTTGTTATATTACACCCCTGTACGCCGCTCATTTCTTAAAGACAGAGGATATCTCGTTCCCTGGAAGGCAGAGCTGCATCCAGACTCAAAAGCCGAACGATAGACAATTAACAAGCACTTTAAAATCCTAATCCGCCCGATCGATTACAGTTTCCAAGAATAAATTTCAAATTATTTATCTCCAAGTGACAGCTGTGCCTCCTGCTGGCGTCAGACACTCTTTGATGTCCCCAACAAAAACACCCTGTGTTAATGTGTGCATCAATCAATTTACGTTTGTCACCCGTCCCAGGGCTGAGGAACATTCCAGCACCAGTAAGTAAGAGCAGAGAGGACCACAGCAGCCAGACACAGTCTCACACGGCCATCATGAAACATGCTTCCTCTTATTACACAAATTTGACTTGGGCCGAGCCATTTTCCTCAAGTGTAATGACACAAGTTGCCTGGGGTGGCGCTGTGACATCAGGCTCTTCACATACATTAATTCACAGGGACACCATATTTTTCCACTTTCTGATACCATTTTTTTTCGTACCTTTCCTAATGGATTCGGAAATACCACAGCCGACTCAATAATCAGCCACAGCGCAACGAGGACGAACTTTTATACAGAGACCAGGGTTTGCATTAAAAGCTCTAAAAATCAGAGCCAAAGCTAAATAAATTAACACACTTCTAAAAGTTATGCAAAAAAGATAATCTTCTGGAACAGAATAATGCAACTATTTTTATGCAGCCAGGTTGGTGTATGTACAGTATAGTGTAGCAGTGTTAAAAGGCGGTTGGAATGCAGAGGCATTTTGTTCCCACAATTCCCCATTCTGAAGGTAGGCGGAGCTACCGTTTTACCCAACACACTAGCAATCAGAAGTTCAGTTCAATTCACAGAACTGATTGTATCGAGCTGTTTGTTTAAATGAATCGAGCGTTCAATTCAAAGTGTCGGTTGGGGTGGGTGGGCAGTACATACCGCTGCACTTTGCTCAATTACTTTTATTGAAACTGCATGTTTATTGAAATCTTATTTTTATTGAAATACTGGTCATCTCTGAGTCTTATGAATGTATATTGATCGCTTCAGGCCTAATCAAAATGAAAAACAATCACGCAAGTAAGCAGGCTTTAGCGTTTTCCAGTCAGCCTCCAAAAGCCCGATAAAATCTCAAGTACTTTTATATAGTATTGTAACATATAATTTAAAATGCTTTCATCAAAGGATAAAAACCAAGACCAAAACCACAACATACAGAATACAACAAATGCTAACCGGATCTCTGAACTCTCGAGCAGACTTTTGGCACGATCAGAACTGGTCACTCTGTGAGGTTTGGGTCTCACGAGATTTGCCGAGAAACTGCGTGAATCAAACTCGCCAAAATACCAAACTACCCAGACAGTCAGTGAACCACTTCAACCGAACGTGCTGAACTCGTTAACTTGTCGATTGCCGAGAGTCGGCATGAACACAGCACAAATACGATTACGGTTTGCGTGATGGCACTGAAGGCAACATGGCTGCAGCCAGTCTACAAGAAGCAAACGTAAGTCAATTTAAAAAGGTCACTGTGTTTTTTATATGTCAATTTGTCAATTTTAGATTTTTAGAATCTAAGGCGTGTACCGGTACAATGTGTGGATCTACAAAAAGATTCTTTTAGTTTGATCAATTCACTGAAAAGAAGTGATTCAAAGGAACCATCACTACTACACACACAGGAGGGGAGGATGGTCCAGTAAACAACCGTGCCATAGAAGGCACTCGTCACGTCATCCTGGAGGACCCACTAATGGTGAAGAGTGGTGCGATCACCAGCGAGCCCGTGCCAGCTGGAAAGTGCTAGAACCAGTCACTTGGAGACCATCTACTGGGGTCTGTACAAACAACAGGGCGCTAAGTGTGAGCATGAGCAATGTGCACAAGTTTGAGTCCCTGGTTACAAATGCACGTTATATGTATAATTTAGGGAAAAAGTGCCAGCAAAGCAACTCGATGGTGCATTACGAGCAGTGCAGACTCAGCACTGTGGATGATACTCCCTGACCAAGTCCTTGTCACACCACCTTGCTTCTCAGCCTCATTCACCACCTCCCATCTCAGCCTCATTCACTTGCCTCCCTTCTCAACCTCATACACTGCCTTGCTTCTCAGCCTCATTCACCGCCTCCCTTCTCAGCCTCATTCACTGCCTCGCTTCTCAGCCTCATTCACCGCCTCGCTTCTCAGCCTCATTCACCGCCTCCCTTCTCAGCCTCATTCACCGCCTCGCTTCTCAGCCTCATTCTATGCCTCCCTTCTCCATTCCAGCATCCGCATCCACTCCCGACCTTTCCCATTTCTGTTTTTTCCCGCTTCCCGACCTCGGCTGGCACGCCATGGGCTTGAACATTTCCTGCCAACGCTGCCGCACATGCAGCTCACAGTCAGGCTTTGTGTGTGGCTGCAAACAAACATAATTTGTTTGACCCTGAAACAGACAGATTTTTGGATTTTGCTTTGGGAAATATAATTTTCTCATCATTAGGAAAATACTAAAAACGAAACAGCACCCTGAGCAGAAACTGGTGCCTACTGCTGCTACCCCACCTGGAAGCCTTCCATGTTTCTGGAAAATAATTTCCCCAAAACAGCACCTGAGGCTGGACTGGAGATGCATCTGACAAATAGGGGTCACCCAAAAGCATCTGCGGCTTCCGTTTTAGCGCGCGCATCATCCCCAGGGAGGTTCGTAGACAAAAAGACGCTGATTCTATTTTCATACCACAATTTAAAAGTGTTTTAAAGCCAACTATATTAAGATTTCTAAATTACTTGTAAAGGTGTCTTCCAAAATGATTATGGAAGACAGAAATTAGGGGGTTGGGCAACGCGATGATAACTGCATAATTTCGTTCTTAATTATCTCTGTGGGGGGGCACGAGGTTCCAGTCGAACGTGGGGAACGAGCGCGCCAAAACGGCAGGGATACCTGCAGCTCTCGCGCATGTGGCGTGACACTCACGCTTTCAGACTCTCACGCAAGAAATCTTACGGCAAATCTATATTATTTCATTATAAATCTAAAAATTAGCTACATCAAAAGCATTGGGGTAGTTTGCAAACACTACAGACTATTTACAAGGTAATAAAACTGTTACATACATGTAAATATCACACCAGCCAGCTGAGCGAAGTTCGTAACACTGATGTTACGGGGCGCCTGTGGGGACGTGTGCATGACCGCGCGCCCTGCCCGTAACTATGGCCATAGAGCAGAAGATTGCGCAAACAGGGAACATAAACGCCGGTTACGCACAACTAACCTGCACCTGTGCTTTATCCGCGGGCGAAAATAGTCCGGGGAAAGCGAGTTTTGTCAAGGTCGAAAAAATCATTTCCGCGGATGTCTGGTTGTCTTGAATATAATAATATAATATAATTCATCCATAACCGCTTACCCTACACAGGGTCACATTAAGCCTGTAGCCTGTCCCAAGAAGCACATTCGACACCCCAGACAGGACGTCACTTCAATAATAGCATAGAATGGAAATAAAATAGAAAATATACATATTTACTTATGCCCTTCATGGAGCTCCAGTTTTAGCGACATTTATTTCAAAATAGATTATTTGCTTATCATTTGGTGCAAAAAGGACAGAAAGATTTGCATTATGGAACATTAATATGCTTTTCTTCTCATTACGAGGGAAAGCAAATAATTATTCAGACTAGAGTGCAAAGAGCAACAGATTGCAACATACATTCTGTCTTCCCCTTGCCGATTAAAAGTAACCTAAAGGTACAGTGGATACATGTTAACAATGCAGGAAACAATGATCACCACAACACAAATATAGAAACAAAAGCAACTCGAAAAGCCTTTATTTGGTTATGCAAAGCTGATGAAACTGGATAAAATTTTCATTGAGATATAAAATCAATGGCCATCGGCACAGGCTTGTATGCTGCTACACTTTATACTGGGTCTGTTAGATATCTGACCTTTATCTAATTTGTAACTAAGTGCGTTTTCATTAACAGCAAACTTGTCCTTGTGCTACAGTCCATAGAGCTCCTAAAATGTGTAATTAACACCTAGTTATTCTATTTGTAATTTCCATTATGTATGGAATCATTAAAAGCTATTTTGGGAGGTGCTTCACTGGGCAATGTGAGCCTCACAGCTCCATGGTTGTGGGTTCAACTCCCACTCCTGGCTCACGTAGATCTCCTTTTGTTGTGTGGGACACATGATAGACTGGCATCCCTTTCATACATATGTTAAAGTTTAATATCTGTGTATTTAAATATTACTTAATCTAAATCTTCCTACTATTTCTGTACAAGGATGTACAAAGGAAACAGTTTGTTTATCTGCAGCTTTTCTGACTCATAGAGTCAATCTGTTTGTTTAAGGAAAAGCAAAGTTTAAAAAGACTGCATTGTGATGCACTCACCCGAGGGTTAACATGTGACACTGGACTGCAACCTTTGTAAGCCATGACTACACTGGAAGGAAAGCCAATGAGACACAGGCCTTAAACAATGAGACAGGCCTTGAACAATGAAACAGGCCTTGAAGTGGATGCCAAGCCTTCAGCACAGACACCACTCTACATAAAAAACCGCAGCTCATTCACAAGACAGCAAAAAGCCTGAGGATACTATTGTTCTACCAAAACAATAATGACGAAACTTGATAATTTAAGCAGAAACTATATATGAAAACATACGAATATAGTATTCATGCATGCAAATTAGTTTGGATGGGATCCATGAAGACTACAAACGGAACGCCATTTTCGCCTTTGCATTGTGAAATAAACACGCTAATTTATTGGTCATGATAAGTGGACTAAATTGCGAAACACATAGAATGCCTCGACAGCCAACATTTGCTTCTCTTTGCAGATTAACGAGCTTCTTTACTTTTCTACGCAAGCTCACAAGGCTCTAGCGCACCTGGAGAAAAGGAGCAGCGGCTGTTACGATCATGGGCGCCACCATTCCGCGGCTCTTTGATCTCAAAGACGGCACACGAAGAGAAGGTCATTTAAATTCAGAGCCAGGCAGCCAATGCATCTTAGTTGATGCAACATGTCCTGGGCGGCACGGTCGTCACGCATTACAGGTTAGGGCAAAAGCAGTCCAGCAGATCAGGCCGCCTCGGGACAGCGGGTTGGCCGGAGAGTTAGGGGACGGTGACCAGGAAGTGACAAGGTCCCGCCTCCTTTCACCTGATGGCTAATTTGATGGAATCTCTGAACGGAGATAAAATGTAAACCAAAAAAACCCTAGAAAGGTACCAGGAATCTAACAGCATGAGGGGGGGCGGTGTTTGGTGTGAGGATTACAGCGTTTCTCCAGTGGACATATGCAGGCCTCTCAGCCGTCCGAGGGGAGAGACACGACACACGGGAGTAGCTTTGAAGGCTCCAGCAGAGTCTGCCTTCTTCATCCGGACCCCGCAGAGCGATCCCCCGAGACGTCCATCATCCCCGCCAAGTGGCCGCGGCCACCAAACTTAAAAACGGCACCCCGCTTTGTGGCCTTGCCTAGAGCTCAGCGACTCGCCTGACGGATAAACACAACCACGGCAGCTCTGGACCTACAGTCCTCCTCGCTGCTAGGTCCGCGCGGCCGGCACTGACCCGGCTGGCTCTACTCAAATGTCGTACACGCAAACCTTAGGAAGGTAGCTGCTTTGGCCTTATTGTGCTACGTAAAGCAGAGACAGCAAAGTCCAAGGACAAGTAATGCTGTAGTACAGAAATACACTGAGATGTATGAAAGGCTTCAAAAAGTCACACTGGAGTAAAACACCAGAGAAATGATCAAACAAAGATGCCCCTTTAAAGTTGATGGCTAAGAGCATTGAGTTAAAAGTCGATTCTTCACTTTTCCCCCTTTCATGAATAAAATGTACAATTCGGCAAAGTTTTCGGTGAAGCCAACTGTGTGTACCATGAATGAAAGTGGGTGCTGTTCAAAGAATGTTAGAGTGAACCGTCATGGCTGACTCCTTCATCCCTTCAGTGTTGAGTGTAGCAGTATGTGCTTAATACTGATCTTCAGTTACTCAGCTTAGCATAAAGAGCGGACAGCAGTAGCTGTGTAACCATCAGGGAGCAGTAGCACTTTCAAAATTCCAAACCTGCAGACTTGCCTTCGTGTGGTACTCAGGTGCGCTAAAGCACAGTTTGACATGTCAAGTGTAGGCCGCCGTGTCGAGAGCGTGGCCCCAGAAGCAACACAATTCCTGCTACGGGACTCTGCCATTACTCACGTCTACAATCCAGCACAGGAGTAAGTTTTCCAAGCGTCTTCAACTGATGACCAATCATGGCTCTCAGCGGTGACACCGCGATTGGTTAGAAGATGTTTTTATGTTGGTGGCATAACCAACTATTGACATTGTTGCTCTTGATTCACTTGACCTTTAGTAGAGAGACAGTTAAGATAAACTCTTAGCTGCTAAACCCCGCAGTGTGATCTTCACCAAAGGCCATGACATACGCAGGGCTGAGTATTTCATATCGAGGTATGGGACACACAAGGTCCCCCAGGGATGACTCAGACACTCCAGGGATCATGGGGGATGTGCTGGCCAATAGCCCGGGTGCCGTCGAGGCTGCGGCCCAATGGCGTGGCCTCGATGGGCTCCAGTGCGGCACCACGATTCGCCGCTGACGTTTCTCCAGTTCTCGGAAGGCTCTGGTCTCTTCACAAGCGTCCGTGAAAAAACTGGGAAAGCGCCGCTGCCTACAAGGTCAAACCGGCCCAAGGCCCGAAAGCGGGGGCCGAGCTAAATAAGCACTTACCACCTTATCACTGTGTGGACAGACTTAATTAGACACAAGCAAAACTCAGGCCCAAATTATCATCCCGTAGATAATGTCAGTAATTCACTCTTATAATTGCTACGTTGCATGACATAGAAAACAAAGGTGCATTTTTACATAACCAGAAATTGTTGATTAATGTGTTGAGCACTGACTTAACACATATACAGCATGTAGGGTATGGTCTATCACAAGGACATATGAAACACAGCTATGGCATCATGAAGGTCATAAAGGTCAAGCGTCGTGATGTCCATCGTGGGCATCTGGTTTGCACGAGGCTCAGAGCCGGGGCTAATTAAAGAAGCCCCTCTTAATGACGTCTTCAAAAGACGCATCAGCACAACATGAGCGATAAAGAGTAATCATGTGAGGCTTATGGCAATCAAACGAACCAGTTTATGGCTGTTTTCCGTCGTGATGGGGAGGCTGTACTGGCACTGAGCAGGAAAATTACAGCCATCAAAGGTGGAAATCATGTCGGCTAAACAAGGAAAAAAGTCATTAAATTGAGTCGTGTTTCATGACGCACTCGTCATGTGGGCATGATTCTGGTTCAACTCGCTGACCACGACCTTATTTACATACGTGTTAGACCGACGCATCCGAAGATCATCCAAAAAGATTAGCAGCACTGACCATTCAGCTGATGACCTGGTTTACGTATCAAAGGACACTCATCTATCGCTCTTTCATCGTCCCCGAGGACAGACGAGGCGCCGGTTCACCTTCACATTCAATACGCTGTCCTTGCTCTGTTCCTGCGGTCCACCGTTTCCTCGGGCACTGTGGCACGCGTAAGACACAGACAAGGAACATCGGGAGAAGCCTACAGATGAG